AGGAATAGCTAAGAGCTGGTTATAAAATGATTTGGCCTTAGATTAAGAATAATTTAAGAGCATGGTTGAGATATTGAATATCAAATGACTTGGAATAAAATATTGAGAATATCATGAACGTTTGAATTATATATTGGGTGCATGATATCAAATGGTTGATTATGAATCGAGATTCAATTTATGTGGATGTTCGATGCTTTGGATATGCTTACTCAGCTTCACCGCTGAGCGTGTAGTGTGTTTTATTTGCTACACGCAGGTAGGCAGAATGAATGATTGGCTGATTCCTGGCAACAGAATGGGCGAGACAGTCGTGGTGGATCATTGAACAAAATAAATAATTATGTTGTTATGAGACATGTTTAAAAGTCGCTTCCGCATTATTATTAAACACTCCGTATTTTCTACAATTATGTATGGAATATTATTTATAAATAAAAATGTTTGAAATGTTTTAAATTATCACGATTACCAAATCAATACTTTAGTCCGAAAGGGGCTGCAGATCTGGACGGATTAGGGTGTTACACATCCTCCTCAAAATCCTCAAAGAAAATGTCATCTCAGTCTTTAACAAAGATAAACAAGTCGGGGTTTATGAATGCACTCTCCTATATTGGCTCCTCACTCACAAGAAAATCAATCTCCCTACCATCATCCTTAAACACATGCACGAATGCTCCGGTCGCCTAAACAAACCCTATGGCATACTACTTACCCACATCTTTTCCAAAAGGGAAATTCTTGAGGTGCGCCCTTCTCGTGTCCGTTATCTTGACGCGGAGTGCCTTGGCTATAGTGGCCTCGTAAAGATTGGAGCGGAGTATTACATGAAGAAAGAGTTCCAGAATCTTGATGAGGCGACACGAGCGGAGTATGGTCCTCGGCGTTCCATGTCATCTTTGCCTTCCACTTCACGAGCACCCCAAGCCGAAGCTGAAGAAAATGCCAACACGGAAGTCCCCGTTCGTGCTCCACGGGTCAAACGCTCAAAGTCGGCGTCTCATGCTTCCTCGGCCTCTCTCATGCATCGTCACTCTCACATGGTTTCAACTTCCAAAAATCCCTTTAAGAAGTTCAAGAAATTCATCCTCAAGACCGTAGTGGCTCCGATGAGGAAACTTTAAGAAAGCCTCGATGACCTCTCGGATCGGATGAAGAAGATGGAGGATCGTGAGAATCGCCAAAAGCAAAACGAGGATCGTGCTTCTAAACGCCACTAAGTGTTGAGCATTTGACAATATTGATCAAACATTATGTATTTTGCCTAAGTTTTAAAACTCTTTGTCCTGTTTATGTTTCAAACTTTGTTATGATTATGCTTATGATCTGATGCTTATACTTGAATGCTTAAAATTGTTGCCATGATGAATGCCTATGTGTTGCAACTCGTGTTTTTGGTACCCCGCCTTTTTGAATGTTGCCAAAAGGGGGAGAAATATGCATACATTTAGGGGGAGTTTTTTGTCAAAATACCACGTGCATCAACTTAGGGGGAGTTTTTAAATCAGTATATGTTTTTCACGATATGTTTGTGCGTTTGATTATTATATTCGAAAGCCTTATTTGTCAACATCAAAAAGGGGGGGATTGTTGGACTTGAATGCCGTACCCCGTAACCGTTTTGATGTGCCAAATAAGTCTTCCAAATGCTACTAATATAATTTGCACGAAGAAACCAAACGCCAAACCTCTATTAGCTTGTTTAGCATCACCGAGATATACTCCTACGAGTTTAAAAATTATTGTGTAAAGGTAATAATATATATTTTAATGATTTACTTATGCCCTTTCACTCAAAAATTAATTTTAAATGTCAAATATATTCTAAGTTGGGGTCATTTTGAAAACGGAACACGAAAAACAAGTTTTGGAAAATTTACACTGGCCTAACGGTACCAGGCTACCGTGTACACGGCACCAGGATACCGCCGGTAGCCAAGTGAACGTACCATAGCACGTTTCACTGAAGAGGTACACGGTACCCCCTACCGTGTAACGGTACCTAGGTACCGGACGGAAGGCTGAGACGGATGGTTACCCCCGTCCAAACCAGGTACTGCCAGAGGCGAACCAAACTTTAGGCATACACGGTACCCCCAAACGGTAGGCTATACCGTGGGTCACGGTACCTAGGTACCGGACGACACTGACCCTACCGTGAAGGGTACCGGATCCGTTGGCAGCACTGTAGCAAATTGTCAATTTAAATTCAAATCACCCCTAATCACTTCCTAACGGCATTTAACGTCAAAAACTCAAAGTTTAACATTCCAAACTCCTATATAAACCCCCTTTACGCCTCATTTTATATAGAACAACTTCCCAATTAATTCTAAAGCCTCTTTCTCTATTCTTGAGTGTTCTTAAAGCCTTGTTCTTATTTTTCTTACACTTTTGAGTAAAAAGCTTTCATCTTTTTTGTAACACCCCAACCCGCGTAACCCAAACTCGTGAGATAGCGGACCGGTGTGCCACTGGATTGGTATCCGAATATACAACATTTTCAAAACAATTTTAAACAAACGTTCTTTCAATGCATATAAAAATCCATCGGAGTAATTTAAAATAATGCGGAAGCCTTTTTAAAGTCAAACAACTTGGGATCTTGCCCGAAAACGTAATAAGCATTAAAGTTAATTAAATAAAGCATAATCAACAGATTAAAGAGACAACCACGCCATCGTACATCTCCTCCTCAATGCCCTATGGGATCGACTCTAGGTTCATCTGTCTGATCACCTACGGACAGCAAAAAGGAAAACAACGCTATCCGCTCAGCATTGACGCTGAGTGGCACCCCATTGTAGCACAAGAATAAACATAATAATTCAACAATTGAGATCGTACATATGTTTATCCTTTTGATAAAAATCAATTCAACTTTAAATTCAGTTCTTTAGACGGTTGACCAACAGTCAACTTATTTTCTTTCTTTTCAAAACGATTTAGGTGTTACGGGTTTCTTATTAACTCTTTGACCACCGGTCAAACCAATTTAGACTTTCACCAAAGTCAAACCACTTAACACTTAATGCCTATGACGGAGATAGCCTCAATCCGTAATACCGAAGATAGCCTCAATTCGGTGGAGGTAGGATCCCTCGGGCGATAGCCTCAAACCCAAGATCACAGACTCTCGTGCGCACGTCTTAACCTCACTGACCAGGCCCTGCAGCCACCCGAGCAATGGCCAGTTTCTATGTTCGACATAATAAACCAATTGACCTTAATCACCGATTAGAATTAATTAATTAACTTAACTAATTCATTAAAGTCTTGGATTTAATCATTCGGTCAAACCTACGTCGACAGAATATCCAGTCAAAGCCTAAGTCAAACGTGACCTAACCCGAGTCAAAGTCAAACCTGTTCAGTCAATTCACAATCCTCAACAATTCAATTCAAATAATCAATTTAATTCAATTAACCAATTTAGCCAAATTATAGCATAAACACATATAACGATCCCACCCATTAAATCTATTCTAAATGCTATTAACTTCATAGTACGGACCTGGATTACGCCGAAATCGAATCGATAGCTCGAACGGAAGACAAATCAACGAAATCAAACGAACGGGTCAAATTGAGTCAAAAT